AGGATCGGATCCGGAGTGGGGGGATCAGACCTGTATCGGGGCCCGGGCAAAGGGGTGTGGGGGGCTCAGAGCCGGGTGTAGCCCCGGGGATGAGCCCCTGGCACCCGGGACACGTGGTGTGCCCAGCCCGCCCCCCCGCAGGACTGTCCTGCCCTCCCCAGCTGTGCCAGATGTGCCTGTTTTGTGCCCCCCTCCAGGAGGTGCTGGGCGAGGATAAGCTCATGGCCATCCTGAAGGAGCGGGAGCTGAGGATCTACTGGGGCACGGCCACCACGGGCAAGCCCCACGTGGCCTATTTCGTGCCCATGTCCAAGATTGCGGATTTCCTGAAGGCTGGGTGTGAGGTAACGGGGTCACACCGGGACCCCTCACCCCGGGGAGGGGTGGGTTCCCTGAACCCCTGGCATTGACTTGTGCCCTCTCTGCCAGGTGACAATCCTCTTTGCTGACCTCCACGCTTACCTGGACAACATGAAGGCCCCCTGGGAGCTGCTGGAGCTGCGCACCCGCTACTACGAGCACGTGATCAAGGCCATGCTGGAGAGCATCGGGGTGCCCTTGGACAGGCTCAAGTTCGTCCGAGGCACCGACTACCAGCTCAGCAAGTGAGTCCTGGGGCACCTGGGCTGGCACAGCTCGGCCTTCTCCTGACCCTGCCCTGCTCCTGGGACACCAGGTGCCTCCAGGGTTTGTCTCCTCTCAGTGAGGCCAGAACCAGCCACTCTGGGGTGTCCCCATGTGAGCCCTGGGCCGGCAGAGCCCGACCCGGGGCTCTGCTGCTCCTGAGCCTGCCCTTCTCCTGACCCTGCTCCTGGGGCAAAGTGAAGGTGCCTCCAGGCTTTGTCTGCTCTCAGTGAGGCCGGGGCCAGCCGCTGTGGGATGCTCCCCGTGCCAGGTGGGCTCAGTGGTGCCCTTCCCACAGGGAATACACGCTGGACATGTACCGCCTGTCCTCGGTGGTGACGCAGCACGACGCCAAGAAGGCAGGGGCGGAGGTGGTGAAGCAGGTGGAGCACCCCTTGCTGAGTGGTTTGCTCTACCCAGGCCTGCAGGTGAGGCAGGGGCTGCCCAGGGAGGTGCTGGCAAAACCAGGACCGCAGGGGTGTGAGGGGCTGGGCGTCCAGGTCGTTGTTCTCCACCCCAACGTCCCACCCGGCAGCGGCACAGAGTTGCTGGTGCAGCAGACAGTCCAGAATATTCCCGTCCTTTCCCAGGGTGGGAGTGCTCTGGGAGAGGTTGAGGGACAGGCAGGACATCTGAAGGCTGAGCAGAGCTGGAGTGGGGCGTTTTGGGCCCAGCCTCAGGGCTCTGTGTGTCCCCACAGGCGCTGGACGAGGAGTATCTCAAGGTGGACGCGCAGTTTGGAGGGGTTGACCAGAGGAAGATCTTCACCTTTGCAGAGAAGGTCAGGAATGGGTGGGTTTCTGCCATCCTGGGGCTTGAGGGAGGGCTTGGACACTTGCTGATCCACTGGGAGAAGGGTGTGTGGGGTTTTGGTTGGACCCACAGTGCTCTGTGCTGCAGGGCTCTGGTGCCCTGGGAGCTCACAATGGCTCTCTGGGTCCTGTTATTCTGGATTCCAAAGTCATCTGGAGCCAGGAGCAAGCAGGGATCGTGAGTGAGAGGTGATCTTTGGATGAGCATTGTCCCTGACTTGCCTCTTTCTTGCCTTTTCCCAGTACCTCCCTTCCCTGGGCTATGCCAAGCGTGTCCATCTGATGAACCCGATGGTTCCTGGGCTGACAGGCAGCAAAATGAGCTCGTCAGAGGAGGTTGGTGCCTGATCTGGCTGTGCCAGGGGGGTGTAAGAGGGGCAGGTTGAGGGCTGGGGGTGTACAGGCTGCACCCCAAGGCAAGGTGACCTCTCTCTGCTCACACGGGGTTCTAGGGAGCTGCAGCGACTCCCTCGTGAGTTTTCTCTTTTGGGCAAAATGTTGGGTAAAGGGTCTGAGGAAATCTCTTGCTGCAGGACTCAAAGATTGATCTTCTGGACCGCAAGGAGGATGTGAAAAAGAAGCTGAAGAAGGCTTTCTGTGAGCCAGGGAATGTGGAGAACAACGGTGTCCTCTCCTTCATCAAGCACGTCCTCTTCCCCCTCAAGTCAGGTGAGGAATCACCACACTTGGGGGTGTTTTCCCCATGGATAAGAAGAGGGGACAGGAGCGTGTCCCCTGAGTGCCACCTCCCCAGCCTGTGGTCCCCACCCTGGGCAGGGTGGTTTTATCTGAGCCTTGAGTTAATCTGAGCCTTAAAATCTGTGTGTCGCAGAGTTTGTGGTGCTGCGAGAAGAAAAATGGGGAGGAAACAAAACCTACACGGACTACGAGGCCCTGGAGAAGGACTTTGCTGAGCAGGTGAGTGCTGGCAGGGGCTGAACCTTCTCCCTGTGCCTGAGGCTCTCGTGAGCAATCTGGGAGCAGCACTGGGAGATGGAGATCCACACTGGGAAGAGGTGTGGAGTGTGGCCCAGTGATGGGGTGCTCCCAGCCAGGATGTGGGGTCACCAGCTGTCCTGGTGCAGGGCAGGGCCACATCAGCCTCATCCTGGAACAGAGCAGCAGTTAAACCCTTCTCAGCTGTTCTCAGATGGAAGCAGAAGTGTCCAAAAGAAGGGCTCTGATGTCCAAGGGGAACCAGGCCCAGGGTTGGGGTTCATCTCCAGTTCCCACCCTGGGCCTCAGACAGGAACCTGTTTGTCACGTCCAGGTCGTGCACCCCGGAGACCTGAAGAACTCGGTGGAAGTGGCCCTGAACAAACTGCTTGACCCCATCAGAGAGAAGTTCAACAGCCCAGAGCTGAAGAAGCTGAGCAGTGCTGCATATCCCAACCCGTCCAAAGCCAGTAAGGAGGTGCTGGGAGCTGAGGGAAGTGGGGCCCTGGGACCTCAGGGAAGCGGAGCCCTGACCACGCGGGGCTGGGTGGGAGAGAGTCTCTCCAGGAACTGAGGTTAGAGAGAAGATCTGAAACTTCAGTCTCAGAAACAGCCCTGGAGAACACTGGGAGAGGTGAGGAAGGCCAGTGCCAGGGCTGTTTGCCTGCTCTGGAGATGCTGCTCTGGTGCTTGAGAGGGCAACACTGCAGAGGAGGGGCTGTGCTCCCTGGTGTAGAGACAGACAAGGAATTCCCTGCAGGGTATTCCCCCCAGGGCCTGCATTTGGGAGTGACTGTGCTCCCCAGGGCTTGGCCAGCTCCCTGAGTTTATGCTGAATGACATGACCATTCCCTTTGCCCTGCAGAGCCTGGAGAGAAGGGCACCAAGAACTCGGAGCCAGAGGAAGTGATCCCGTCCCGGCTGGACATCCGCGTGGGCAAAGTGATCAGCGTGGAAAAGGTACAACGGGGCACTGGAGGAGAGTAACCACCCCACATGGACATTTGGGGGCTGTGAAAGGGTCTGCCCCCTCCTCTGCCACCCCATTCCCACCCCTGCCCCTCCCCTGGCAGCACCCGGACGCAGACAGCCTGTACGTGGAGAAGATCGATGTGGGCGAGGCCGAGCCCCGCACCGTGGTCAGTGGCCTGGTGCAGTTCGTCCCCAAGGAGCAGCTGCAGGACAGGCTCGTGGTGCTGCTCTGCAACCTCAAGCCCCAGAAGATGAGGGGAGTGGAGTCTCAGGGCATGGTGCTGTGTGCCTCCAGGTGAGGGAGGGAGGGGGGCACCGGGGTGGGAGCACTCCAGGAGGACAGTCTGGACTGCCCTGTGCTGCCCCAGGGCGCTGAGGGGCAGGTGGGGACCACCTTGGGGTGACTCTGCTTTGTCTTCCAGCGTGGGGGAGCCCCGGCAGGTGGAGCCCCTGGACCCGCCGGCCGAGTGCTGCGCCGGGGAGCGCGTCTACGTGGAGGGGTACGAGGGCGGGGAGCCCGACGAGGAGCTCAAACCCAAGAAGAAGGTCTTTGAGAAGCTGCAGGTGAGGGGCTGGGAACAGCTCAGCGTGGCTGGGGCTCCAGGCATTGACTGGGGCAGTGCTTAGGGTGTCCCCACCTTTAGGTGACCCCAGATTGGCCGTTTGCCCCTCAGTGCCCACGGTTGTTACTGTCAGCAAAGCTGGGCACTGCTGCCCCGCTGCTGATCCTGCCTCCCTGCTCTGCTCCCAGGCTGATTTCCGTGTCTCCGAGGACTGTGTCGCGCAGTGGAAGCAGAGGAACTTCCTGACCAAGCTGGGGAGAGTCTCCTGTAAAAGCCTCAAGGGTGGAACCATCAGCTAACAAGTGCCAGGGCTGCTGCTCGTGCCTCCTGCCTGGGCCCCGCCACCACCTCGGTCTCTGCCATCTCCCCCCTCAGTGCCCCGAGCTGGGGGCTCAGCCCTGCGGGACCTGGGGGCTCTAGGACTGAATTTGCAGCCTCCAACATCCCCCCTGGGCCTCGTCTGTGGGCCAGCACTGGGGACTGGAGGTGGCATCCCACCTACGGGGCCTGTGTGACTCATCCCCGTGGCCTTCAGCTCCACGCTGGGGCCATGGGCTCGCTCCCAGTTGTGCCATGGACCGCACTCCCTGCCCACTGGTCCCGAATGGGACGGCATGTGTGGGTGCTGCGGTGAGGGCAGAAGGGAAAAGCTGCTTCTCAAACCTGTGTTGCTGCTACCAGGGCTGGGACAGCCCAGCAGGACCGTCCCCTGCCCTGCCTGGGCACCTCCTGCTCCACCCTCAGCCCACCAGGGCTGTGGCCACTGGGGCTGCTCTTTGGCCAGGAGCCCAGGGAGCACCCGTGGGTCTGTTCCAAGCCTGTGGGGGGGTGTGGGCCTTAAACACTGACTCGGGATCCATCTGTCATAAACCCAATAAAACGTCGAGCTGACTGCACAAGGGTGTGCCTGTCTGTCCAGGGAAGGTGGCTGAGCTGGCAGCCAGCCCTGCTCCTGAGCTTTAGTGGGCACTGGTGCTGGGAACCAGCCCCATGGGGGTCTGTGCCCGCCCTGGAGCTCGGCACCATCCAGAAGGGACCTGCCACACGTGGCAGTGCCGTGGCCATAAGCCAGGAAGCACAGGAGGCAACGAGCTTAGGTCATCATTTTTACCAGCCAGGTACAGAGCTCTGAGCAGCTACTCGGCGGCAGAGGGTCGGTTGCTTTTGGTTTGGTTTGGTTGGGTTTGTTGGTTCGTTGTTGGTTGGTTGGTTGGTTTGGTTGTTTTTTTTTTACAATCAAAAGAAATCAAAATGTGACCCGAGTTTACAGAAAGAATCGAGGCTCCACCCCAGAGCCCAGGGCCTGAAGACCAGCTCAACGGGCAGCCAGGCTCCCCCTCACCCTGTGGCCAGCGTGGCTGCAGGATGGCTGGGATGGGCAGTGGCGAGTGGCCGGAGCCGGCACTGGCCACAAGCCCCTCTTGCCTCTCCATCAGGGGACAAAGCCCTGGTCCCTCCCAACCAGTGCCTCCATCCCGTCCTGCTCCTGTTTGCATCCCCCCCGGGCACTGCCGTGGCCAAAGCCTTCCCATTCCCTTGTCCAAAGTGCTTCAATTCCTCGCAGGCCTGGAGCAGAGTGGTCCCACCTCTGGTGTCTTCGGTCCCCAAACTCCTCTCGGCTCCGCACGCCCAGACCAAGCAGCAGCCTGGCAGGGAGGAGGTGCTGGCTCTGGGCACAGGCCTCGAGTCCAGTAAAAAAAAAAAGCAAAATAAAGCTGTAGTACTTAGGAAAGTGAAACCAACACCATTTTTGCATAAATATCATCAAGGCCGTGGAGGCTAAGGCTGTTTGCTTCCTGTATTAAGTTAGTTGCCAGTTCCACACTCGTCCGTTGACCTGCCCAGGTCCCTGAGAGATTTGGATTCCTGTCCGTGGGGGCACCAGTCCTGCAGCATCGTCCTTCAGGCCGTCTCTCCCCGTCCATCTGCAAAGCAGAAGGGAAGAGCCCGTCAGCCACCCCGAATCCCCACTTCCCACAGCCCTGCCAACACGGCCCAGCTGCCGCACTGGGAGCCTATAGGTCGGGAATGCACAGCCTGGGAATGCACAGCTCAGGATCCTGAGCACCTACAGCAGCAGCATTCCTGAACCGGGCTCCCATCCCACGTACCTTGTGCAGGGAGGCTCTGAGCTGGCGGCTCCGTGGTGTCCCTGCCTTCCGTCCCCACCGTCCCTGCCAGCTCGCTCTTAGTCCTGCTCTCATCCGCCGGCACTGCCATGGCATTCCCGTCCGGCACCGGGGAGCCCAGCGCCTCTGCCCCCGCTGCCTTTGGGCTCAGCGGGGAAGGAGCCGGCCCTGGGCCCAGCGAAGGCTTCTTGGCTACCGGAGGGGGGACCTTGCCGGGTTTTCGGTGGGCTTGTGCCTTGCCAGGGCCCTGCGGGGCGGCCGCCGGAGCCGCCGAGCGCTGCCCCGAGAAATTCATCAGCTCGGCCACCAAGTTCCTCTTCAGGTCGGCCTGTGCCTCGGGGGACGAGGCCGTCTCGATCACCAGCTTCCTGGAGCTCTTGGCGAAGATGAAGCTGGCGGTGGAGGCCGCCGACTTGTTCCTGGGGGAGAGCTGCCCATCCTCAGGGGCCCCCCCGGGCTGGGCCGCTTGGCCGCCGGGCGGCTTCTCCGCGGCCCCGCCGGAGGCCAAGGCGGCCGCCCTGAGGTGCACGGCGTGGTGGAGCGGGTTGGAAGGCACCGTGTCTTTGGCAGGAGGGGGCTGCCGCGTGGACAGGGACCGGCGGACGGGCTTCTGCGGGGCCGGGCGCTCCTCGGCCCCGGCCGGCGGCTCCACGCTGACGGAGCGCAGCCGCACCATCTGCAGCAGCGAGGGCGTGACGATGGGCAGGCTGGCGTCCTCCTTGGGCACGGGGCCGCTCTTGCTCCGCGACACCGGCTCCTTCCTGGCGTCCGCCCGCGGGCCGTTGGCCGCCTTCTTAAGGCTGATTTGGGGTGGCAGAGCCGGAGCCGAGGGTGGCGGGAGAGGCGGCGGCGGCGGCGGCACGGTGGCCTCGGGAAGGGGCTCGGCGGGACACGGGGGCTGCGGTGCCCCGGCTGGTGGGACTTGCTGTTGGCTGCACGAGGATGGTGAAGGCGCAGCCTCCGGGCTCGGTGTCGCTTTCTGCCCGTCCGCCGGAGCCGAGGTGGCATCGGGCAGGCTGGAGAGATAGGATTCATCCGGAGGGGGGAAGTCTGCCATGGACAGGTCGTGTTCCTCGGGAGCCGGCGGTGGTGGCGGGGGCCAGGCGGTGTCGGCGGGGGGCTCCCCGGTGGTCTGGGGGCTCCCCTCCGCCTTCTTGGCTGGCGGGGGAGGCGGGTGGTAGGCAGGAGGCGGCGATGGAGGTGGAGATTTGCCGCTGGGCTTGGCCCCGGGCTCCTGGCAGGCAGTGCTGGGCGCTGGGGGGTCTGACGAGGGCAGGAGGGGGCCGGCGGGGGCCGGGGGCTGCTGGGGCTTGGTGGGTGGTGGGGAGAAGGGAGCGGGAACCTTGGGGTGCGGCGGGATGATGAACCGGTCCGAGCGGCAGGTCAGCGCCTCGGGGGGCGTCGGGTCCGAGGCTGAGGAGGAGATGGAGGTGAGGGAGGAGGACACGGAGAGCGCAGGCGACTGAAGGGAGCAGACCCGGTCTGGCTTCTGGGGCTGAGACTTGCCTGGGGACACAGATGGGGGTCCCAGCCCCTTGGTGGGCAGTGTGGGCGTCCCGCTCTGGCTGGAGTAGCCGCTGGAGGGGGACATGGTGCGGTCAGACCCATCCGGGCAGCTCCACTTGGGCTGAGCTTGGGGCTCCCTCAGCACCACAGTCACCCCGGGGCGGCCCCGTGAGGCCTCGGGGGAGCTGGCCCCAGCCAGGCTCTCGGAATGGAGGCTGCTGGTCTCACTCAGCGACGATGGGGAGAACACCTCATCCTCGGCCGTGGGGCTGAAGGGCTCGGGGCGCGGGGACCAGGGCGCGCTGCTCTCCCGCTGGGGCCGCCGGTCGGGCTTGGGGGGCAGCCCCAGCACCTTGGGCTCCCCATCATCCTTTTGGTGCAGTGAGTAGGTCCTGCGAGGGGGGGCCGGGGGCTTCTTCATCTTTCTGAGAGAGACGCTGCGGGCGGAGGAGCGCTCGCTGGCCAGGCTGCCTGTGTCCGAGCCGTCCGCCTGGCTGCTCATGCTGTAGGCAGGGGACACCCGGCCGCTGCTGCTCCCCACGGCCAGCGAGGCCCCAGGTGTGAGGCCGGGGGGCTTGGAGCAGGAGCTGGCGAAGCTGGCGGAGCTGTAGACGCTGATCTGGTCAGTATCGGAGCGAGCCGCGGCGTCCACCTCGCCGTGTGGCCCCGCCTCGTGCTGCCGGTGGTCGCAGCCGCCCTGGGAGGAGATGGTGGAGCTGTTGGAGACGATGGTCTCCGTGGACTGCGAGTGGCTCCAGTTGTCGCTGGAGGAGGAGGGCTCGCGGCTGCGGGCGCTGCGCTCGGAGAAGCGGGAGAGGGATCGCACCGAGGCCGGGCTGGAGGACACGAGGCTGCAGCGGCTCAGCGTCCGCACGCTGCTCCGCGTCAGGGCCACCACGTCCACCATGGGCGGCAGGATGGCGTTGGGGATGATCTTGGACATGTAAGTGCCCTGGGGCGAGATGGACATCACGGGGCCTATCGCCACCTCCGGGTGGTTGGCGTAGGTGGTCATGCCCGGCACGGCCAGTGACTTGGGCCTCAGCATGGGCGACAGCTTGGCCGCTGTCTTCCTCCCCACCAACGTGTCGTCGTAGTAAACCCTGTTGATGTGCTTCTGTAGGGCCGCGTCTGCCTCCTCCAAGGCTCCCAGGCAGACGCGGGCGCCGCCGGGCACAGCCAGAGGCTGCAGCTTCCCGTCGATGGTGGGGATGCGGACGGCGTCGCCCGAGACCTGCCCACCGTTCAGCAAGGGCTGCGCTGCCTGGCTGCCCCCGCGCCCCGCCGGCCCTCGCCCGTCAGCCCCGGGATGGCCCTTGGCTTCGTGGCTGTTCCTGAGACCTGTGAGCAGGGAGAGATGACCTCAGTGTGATCCCAAAGCTGACGCTCCGAGCCAAGGCAAACGGAGCTTGGGCAACGAGACCAGACCCTAACAATCCCCCCTACCCCCAGTGCTTACCCAGCTCCTTATGGACATGTTGGGGGATGCCCAGCACCGTCGTCCTCCTGTCCTTCCTCTTCTTGCCACCCCTCTCCGAGGATTTGGGAAAGGAGTCGTGCGGTCGGAAGGTGGAACCTACAAGAGGCGTGAGGGGGTCCAGCAGGTGTGAGGGGGGCCCTGGCCAGGGTGTCCCCAGTGTCCCCAGCACCCCCTCACTGACAGAGATGCTCCAGGATGAGCCGGGCTCAGGCATGGAACAGCCCGGAGAGGCATCAGCAGCAGGGAGGAGACAGCGTCTATCTGTCTGTCCATCCCCCTCGCCCTGCCCCAACGCTCTGACTCAGCCGGAGTTGCTCTCATCTCTCCCAAGGGCCCCCAAATCCCTGCGCTGGCTCGTGGCCACGCCAAGGCAGAGCCCAGCTTTCCTGCCATGAGCTCCGACCCCCCTGGCACCCCCTTGCCTGGTGTCCCCCCCGTCCCATGGTCGCCCAGCCGGGTACCTTTCCGCTGGATCATCTCGGAGCGGATGGAGAGGGCGTCCTCAGAGGTGCTGTCCGTGGCACAGGAGGCCGCCCGGCTCCGGATGGACACACTGTCATCCTCCGAGAACGCGCAGGACTGCGGGGACAGAGGGACAGTGGGCTCAGAGGACCCCGGGCAGCGGGGACGGAGCTGCCCCAGCCCCAGCCAGGCCCCTTCCCTGCCTCACGCTCACTGAGCAGCCCAGACAAAAGCTTTTCCGAGGGCCAAAGGCTGAGTCAGCCACGCCGGCATCCAGAGTCCTCCCACCAGGAGCGGGGCCGGGAGCAGCCCCTGGGACCCCGCGTGGCCTCACAGCCCCCCGGAGAGCAGGACAGCCGGGATCTGGCCCACCAGGGGAGCACCTGAAGGAACCGCCAGCCCTGCCTCTGTGCCAAGCCAAAATTGGCCCCATGGCTGTTCCCAGCCCAGCTGCGACCCGGATCCCAGGGCTGGAGGGCTGCCATGGCTGGGAGAGGGGCGTGGGACAGGGACAAGCAGGCAGGGATGCAGTCAGGCTGGGGACCCCCTGCACTCAGGTGCCACCGTGGGCACGGCCAGCGGCACAGCCCCGCGTTAGGCACAGCTTCCAGTGTTCCCACCCCTCCAAACCATCCCTTGGCACAGGCAGAGGTCGGGATGAGACACATCCTGACTCCTCCGCCTCACTGCCCTGGTGGCTCTGCCCACCCTGGGGTTTCCAGACCCTGCTTCCAAGGGGTTAAAGGGGACAAGAGCCAGGGGGAGGCAGCGGCTTGAGCAAACACAGGCGTGTGAGGCACTGGCAGCAGGGTCAGAGCCCAGGGACAAGCCAAAGCCCAGCTTGGCCAAGAGAGTGGAGTTTCTCCTCGTCAGCAGCTGGGGAGGGGCAGAGACACCAGGTTGGATATGGCCAACAGTCCCTATTGTGCCATCCTGTCCCTCCACTTTGGTCAGGGCTGCCAGGGGACACCAGTGGGACAGGAACAGGGGGATGGAGGGATGCAGGAAAGGGGGGGTCCCCGGCAGAGCCCCACACAGCAGAATGTGTCGAGGCCAAGGACAGAAACAGTGGCTCATTATGGGGCAAAGGGGATGACACCAAGGGACACACAGCCCCTTCCTGCCCAACAACCCCCCTGGACATGGTCCTGCCACCTTGGCTGGTTCCCTGTCTGACCCCAGACGCCACTTAGGGGGGACAGAGGAGCCATCCTGTGTCCCCTCACCCCCCGGGGCACCCCCAAGAGCACCACAAGGCAGAGGCAGATCCTCGGCAGGGCTCACCTGGAGGCTGCTGGTGTCCCCGTGGTCCCAGGCACTTTTGGTCTGCTTCTGCTTCTCTGTGGAGGGAAGGCAGGAGGTAAATCCCCCCGGGGAGAGCCCGCAGGCAGGGAAGCAGCTGCCGAGCTGGCAGTGCCCCCTGCACACCCCGGCCACCGCTGGACTCCGGTCAGTCCCATCGCGCCGCCCACACAGCCCAGCCAGCCAGGAGCTGGGGACAGCCAGGAGCTGGGGACAGCCAGCTGCCCTTCCGCCGCATCCCCAGGGCTGGGGACAACCTACCTTGGTGCTGCAGGGACTTCAGCCCCTGCTGAGCCTGGTTGTGCAGCTCCTCCAGGTGCGGGGGCCGCGTGCTGGGGAAGAAGACGTTGTCGGGACATTCCTCGCCCGCCGTGTACTGCACACTCAGCCGCTTCTCGCCCTCGCCCTTGGCAGCGCCTGCGGGGGGACAGGGGGGTCAGCTCGGCTGGGGGGGCACAGCCCTGATCCCACCGAGGCACCCCCACCCACGGGATGCAGCCGGGAGAAGCACCGGGCGATGACAACCATCCCGGGATGACGTTATCCCGCCCAGCTCCAAACTGAGAAATCATATCCCACGGCTCTGCCCGGCCGGTCGATACGCTGGAGTCGGGATGTCTCCACTGGTTTTCCCCCCCACTGGCTGGAGCTGTGCTGGGTATGGGACCACCCTCCTCCCCAGCGCCTTCGTTAGGAGTAAACAAGGAGCGAGTTGTGCAGGGCTGGGGGCAGCGGAGCAGGAAGGGCAGCACGGGGGGATTAAATGTGGATGGGAAGATGACGACTTTCCCTTCGGAGCGTTGCGTCATTCCCAGGCCTTGCTCATCACCCCAAGAGCAGGGACTCACCCCATGCCCATCCCACGGCTGGGAACTGCACAGACAAGGGAAACTGAGGCACGACCAGCTGCAGAGACCCCACAGGACCCAAATTCCTGCTCCGAGCCCCCCGGGGTGCTGCACACCCCATCTGCCACGCCTGGGACGGCACAGAGCCCTCACTCCCCATCTCACAGCCCCCTCCCCACAATCATCACCAGCACCTCGGGGTGCCCACGACGGGGGGCCGCCCTGGCACCACCCAGACAGGGCACTGCGGCACCGAGGCACAGCCCTGCCTGCGAAGCCTCAAACTCTTCCTGCCCGGAAAACAAAACCCGATTCGAGGCTGAGGAAGGGAAGGGCGAGCACAGGAAACCGTCGGGGCTGGCGGCAGCACCCCGGGGCCACGGGCACCTGCTGCTCAGCATCGCCGGTGTCACACACCCGTCCCCTTGTCCCCCCGCGTCCCCCACGTCCCCCATCCCCTCACGGCCAGCCCGGCCAGGCAGCGAGGCAGCCGTGCTCTGACTCCATCCAGCACACAAAGGAGCAGGCCTGGAACAATGGAGCCGCCCGCCCTGCCGCCATGCCGGCCCCTGCCTCCGCCAGCACCCACGGGCACGGGGGCACGGCCAGCCCGGCACAGCCTGGTGCCACAGGGGTCCCCTGTGCTGGCGCAGGGGCCCCTGCAGGAGACACAAGACACCCACAGCCCCCCCACCATCATGTTCCTAAACCCTTTTCCCCCCCAATTTCGGCAGCCCCTCGCCTGACACCCCTCCAAACACCCTTCCAGAGAGAGGAGCGCTGTGATTTATTCCATTAACTTCCCGGCGGGCGAGGCCAGGGCTGGGGTGACCTTCCCTGCCCTCCCCCGGGGATGGCAGCCCCCCTGCCCACTGCGGGTGACCAGCGGGGGTCCTGGCGGGCAGGGGTTGTGTAAGGACAAGCCGCTGCTCCCTCTCTCCCTCCCTCCCTCCCTCCCAGCTGCTCACTCACCCTTCTTCTTGAAGAAAGCCAGAAGCGAGGAGAGGTTCCTGCCCATGAAAACCACCATGGTGGCCGGGGAGAGGGTCTGGTCCCCAGAGAAGGGGGGGCTCCGCCGCCCCCCAAGGAGGCTCAGCCTATTGTGCTGTGGTCGGCGAGGCAGATGCCGGCGGTCCCCACCTCCCTCCCTCCGTCCTCATCCGCACGGCGGGAGGATGCTCGGCCAGGCAAAGAGGCTCCTCCAGCGCAGCTGCCTCTGAGCGGGGAGAAGCCCGACCCGGGGACGGCTGCGCGGTGGCAGGAGGGGACAGCCCCAGCTGCGCCCACCGCGCTCCTCGGTCACGGGAGAAGGAGAGCGGGGGCCCCTCCTCTGGCCTCCCTCTCGCTCCCCCGGCTCTCCCGCCTCCTCCCACGCACGGCACGGACCACAGGGATCTGTTCTTCCAGGCTCACGGCCAGGATTTCCCCCGATTTCCCCTTCCCGCGGCCCTGGGACCCCCCCCCCGGGACGCTGCTCCCGCAAACCAGTTGCTCGTTTCCACAACAGTGCGGCCAACTGGGAAGAACTGGGAGGCTTCTCCTCCGGCAAGCACCAGCCCTTGGGATATGACACAGCACAGACAGCAGGGCTGGCATTCCCCTTCCTTGCCCATCCCCAGTGCCCCCCGGGACGTGGTGCCCACCACAGCCCTCCCGGCTCCTGGCACAGCTCAGCCCAGAGCAGGGGGACACGAGCCATGGTGGGGCAAAGGGTGTTTGTCCTTGGGGACAGGGCGTCCAGCACGGCCACGTCACGGTCACAAGGGCTGGGGGAGAACCAGGTCTCAGACCAGTCTAACCAGTAGCTCCAGCTGCTGGCGCGGGGGCACATAAGGCAGGGGCAGAAATGCCAGGCAGTCAGGCGCTGGCACAGCCCTGGCACTGATGGTCCCCACCATGGATTTGCTCCATGCTGCCAGGGCAGTGGAGCCAGGGAATCCTGTGCCATCTTGGGAATCGGCCCCATTCCCCCCCTTTACAAGCGTTTTGTCCTAAAAGGTGAAGAGCACCTGCCAGCAGGCAGCTGTGCCCTCATGCCAGCTGGGAGCAGACGTGTCAAACCCTCCATTCCTTGTCCTGCCAGCTCTCCACAGCCTGTGCCCAGGGTTTATTCCATCAGGACAGAGGCTGGGTTGCAGTCAGAGCAGCATCACCCAACACAGGGTCCCAGCAGACCCCAGGAAGTGACTGTGCAGCCCAAGGCACCGTTTGACCTTGTGAAGGGCACCTTTGTGTTCCCAGCCAGGCAGCGCCAGGTTCAGCAAGGACTTCTTCTCTGGAACTCCTCCATGGCCACAATGCCCAACACCAGCAGCGCCCCGGCTGTGCCTGCCCCAGCACCTGCCCCAGCACCTGCCCCTGCACAGGCAGGATCGGCCCTGCTGCCCACACGATCACCCAGAAGGTGCCGGGGGCCGCGGGCAGACGCTCCCCGGCTCTTTCCACAAGCACAAGTGGAAAAGGGACATAATTAAAGGGCTGAGGAAGCACAAAGCCGGCAGCCACGTGCTGCGCTGAGCACTGACTGCCCTCTGCGCTCCGGGCAGCCCGTCACGAGCCCAGCGAGGGCCATGGATGGTGGCAGCCGAGGGACACTGCTCCCGGCTCCACAGGGAAGGGTCCAGCTCTCCATCTCTGCCTGCATGGATGGGGCTGCACTCAGGATGCCCCTTCATGGCACCAGGGGCTCTGGGAGCCTCTGCAGTGAAGGTGGACAGTGGACAGTCCCCTCTGTGCTGCTGGTGCCGATGGCAGCACGCATGGAGGCTGCTCCCAGGGCTGTGAGGACATTCGCAGGTGCTGGCAGACACCCTGTCCCTGCTCCACCTTCCTTCATGGGCCCATTGCCCACGAGGACACAAAGGACCTCGGGAACGTCCCTCGCTGACAACACTTTTGTCCCCCTCCTGAGTGTGATATCGCTGCGGTCGGGGCAGGAAGAGCTCAGCATGGCTGCCTGCAATCTCCCAAAGGATAATCCAGTGCAGAGCCAGGATTATCCTGGCCACGGAGGAGCCTTGTGGTAGCATGTGAAGAGCAGCCTCCGCTTCCCCTCCCACTCCCTGCGACCTTCGCTACCGCATCATCCTCGTCCAGCCGGCCTCACCCCTGGCTCTGTCAACACACAGTGAAACCCGCCACAAACAGGACAGGAAAAGAGGGAAAATCCAGGAGGGAGAGAGCCCTGATCCCGTGGCACAGGCTGCAGGCCTCGGTGGGCTGGGGAAGCTGCTGCAGCTGCAGCTGGTGCCGGTAGCAACACGCCCGGTCAGGCTGGTGTCCCGGCCCTTGTGCCTGTGCATTCCTTGCAATACATCCTGGATCACCCTGTCCCCTCCGGACTCAGCTCACACACGTGCCTCGTCCACATGTGGCAGCGGGATTCTCCCAGAGAAAGAGCCAGAGGGTTCTCAGCACCAGGCACTCTCTCAAGGATGGTCTCCCTGACTCGGAGCTGGTGTCTGCTGCCGCCTGCGACAGGGATGGTGTGGAGGGAGCAGAGCATCCCTGCAGCAAGGTACAGTGATAGGAAGGGACAGGGAACCCCAGGCATCTTGCCTTCAGCTCTTCCTGCTCCTCTCTGTGCTGGCAGAGCAGGGCTGGAGGGAATGGGAAGGGCTGCACAAGGGAGAGACCAGAGCTGAGACCCCCACAGGAACACGGCCGGGGCCGTTCATCCCTGGACCAGCGATGCTGCAAGTGGGACACGGTGTCAGCTCAGGTCCCTTGATGCTGCTCCTCACCTGGGGAGAGCCAGAGGAGAAAATCCCAGCTCCTGTCCCCCTCCTGGCCAGGCCTGTGCCTCCTGCAAGCAGCAGGTTTGGCCGGGCTCAGCTGCAAACATCCATCTCTGCCTGCTCGGCACTGCCTCGACTTGCCTGCTCCCCGCACAGCGGCGGCTCCTGCGGTGGGAGGCAGGGAACAGGCAGCAGCAGGAGGCAGGGAACAGGCAGCAGCTCCCTGCCCGCCCCTTCACCACCACTGACTCACCGGAGAAAAATGGGGAGGAGGGGGGAGCTGGCAGGCAGGAGGGAAGGGGCTGTGAGGTCCTCAGGGGAGCCCGCCTGTGTCCTCCAGCTCAGTGGGATGGAGCCTTTGCCTCCCTTCTTGTGGAAGCCAGAGCAGTGCAGAGGGTAGCAAGAAGCCTCTCTGCCCCACGGAGTTGGTGCTCTCCCACCCCTTTGGGGCTCCTTCCCACCACGCTACATCCAGGTGTGTGCCCAGGCTTTGGGGACCACTCTGCCCCCCAGTTGCCTGCAGATGCCATGAGCATGGATAACACTAATGGGGTGCACTAGGAACCCCATCCCAGAGAGCCCCATGGAGCAATCAGGACATGGAACCTGCCACGGCTGAGAGAGCCCCCACACTCTGCTCCAGCATCACAGAATCACAGAATAGTCCAAGTTGGAAGGGACTCTATCCTGCCCCTATGCTCCAGCATCGAGTCCCTCTCTCCCTCTGCACCCCAACCTTCAGCTGTTGAAGGGGGCTGAAGGGCCACAGTGCCCCTGAAGATAACCAGCCCTGCCACTCTTTTTCCCCCAAATCCCTGTCTCTGCACAGGATCCACACCCTAGTACACACCACAGGATCGTGCTCCTTCCAGGCAGGATAAGAACACAATAATATTTACGGTGGCTCTGGCCATGCAGCCCCCCACTGCCAACCTGCCCTCGGCCACCCTCAGGGGGCTGCTGCTCCAGCCAGGAAAACATCTCCACCAAGCAAATAAACACCACCCGACCCGCGCTGCTGGCTCGGCTCTCAAACACGATCCCACGCAGAGGCTGAACTAAAATTAATTCAACTGGGAAAACAAACTTGGATCGTTTGTTCTTCCTCTAAATCACAGCGTAGAAAACTGGCCGGTGTTGCCTCAGTGAGCCAACGGGCCCCGGCGAAGGAGCTGGCGCGGGGTGAACTCCTGCTCGGAGCAGAGTCGTGGCTCCAGCTGCCTCCAGCCAGGGCTGCTGTCATGGCAGGAGCACACGGGGTTGTGCAACAGGCCCTGACCTCGCTGCTGTCGCACACTTGCCCCACAGCCGGCCCTGTGGTGACACGCAGCGTCTTCTCCTCCCTGTGTTATCACAGACCCCGGGCGGGGGTCTGGCAGCAGCCCGGGGGGGTCCCAGTGCTGCAGAGGGGGGCAGGACCACCCCAATGCTCAGCTGTGCCTCACTCCCAGCCCCCGTAACAGCCTATCCCACCCCGTCCCCACCCCGCGCTCGTCCCCTCCCGAGAGAAGCCACCAAACAGGTTTGAAGGTAAATAACAGCCTTCCCCGGCCAGGAGCCGGATCCGGGCGGGAACATCCCAGATGGGGCTCACGGGGTGGGAGAGGGCCACGGGCAGAGCCTGGGAAGTGATACGGGGCTGCCAGTGGCATGTACGGCCAGGGACAGGCCACCAGCACCTCCTCCCTCCAAGTCCAGAGCTTTGTCACTCCCTGATCCCCCTCCCTCGGTGTCCTCCACCTCCCACGGCCGCGGTGCCCGGGGCTGGCTGCGTCCCACGGCGCGTGCCGTCATGCCCGGCGTGTTTGCAGGGTACCCAGGTGCTGCTCACATGGCAGGCGTTGCCTGTCGCAGCAGGAACTTGGCTCCGTGAAGGAGCAAACCCAGGAGACGGATTAAGGACAAGACGTTGCAGGTTTTTTCCGCGCACGGATCCACCGTCCCGCGGGCAGCGCCCAAACCCCGCTCCCACCCGCGGGGATCTCCCGAGGGAACGCTGAGGAGCTGCTGATCCTCCACTGGGGATTGGGATGGACAGGGCAATGCGGGACCAGGCAGAAGATGGGAGAAAAGGCGCCAGGTGGCAACGGGGCTGCCACCAAAACGGGGTGGGGGATAACCCACAGCCGAAGGGCAGGTCCCATCCCTGCCCCTCGGTGACAGGGTATGTGCCAAGCGGGCAGGGCACGGCATGTCGGAGCCGAGCGCTGCAGCAGCTGCCTGCCCGGGACACCCGCGGATCACCTCCTCCCCTGCTCCAGGAGCAGGAGGGGGCACCAGGAAGGGCTCAGATGTCCCAGCAGGATGCCGGGCCGGTGTGCCTGGAGAAAGCGCCTGTGTAAATCATGGTGTATCCCCCGCCGGGCCGGGCCCCTGCCCTTTTCCGCTCCCCCGGGTGTTTGCGGAGCCGGCCCAGCGTGGGTCTGGCACGGAGAGTGGCTGTGAAGGAGAGAGAGCCCAGAATTGCTCAGCCCACCCCAGAGCTGCCCAGCAGGAGCTGGGGCTGCTGAGACGCTCCAGCGCTGCCGCTGGGAAACCTCGCAGCCACACAGCACCCCCTGCCCCAAACCTGCCCCCCCTGGGCCATTTGGCTGCCCCATC